TAAAGGCTCAACGTGAACATAGTATACATAAGTCTAGAATATCAACAATATAGCTATGCAAAATCCAAAAACGTGTCTCGATAGAACTTTTTGGGTTTATCTTAACCCTACCAAAATTATTTGACGGGAGTATAAAATGAAGAAGGTATAAATGGTTAAAATTAAATTTTTGGATTTTTAAAGTATTAATATCTTCTGTACAACATAACCTGTTAAAAAATTAATGACGCCACAATAAGGGCAATTAGAGGGTATTTTACTAAGTGTAAATAATTTTCTACTTTTTATATTTTTAAGCCCCAATAACCAAAAAATATATTAACATGTTTCTTTAAATGGCATTTATTTCAAATATGCATTAAAATTGGTTATACTGTAAACGTCGGGTAAAAGGTATTTGAATTATCTTTAAATTAGCATCAATACTTTTGTGATCCGTCAAATAGTTTCCGTGATATTGTAAATATAAAAAGAAAAGTTTAACTTCAACCTCTTTTATTGGTTTTGGTTTTTATTTTTTCCAAATAATCTTGGTATGGTTGAAATCAGCATGACAAGTTCTATCGAGTCACATTTTTTTTATTTTTTGTTTGTTTGCTAAACGGTTGATATTCTAAACCCTGGAGTACTGGACCAGGCTAAATGTGAATAAGAAAAGGTAAACAAAATTGTCAAATTAAAGTCTGACTTTCTTAAACACCCCAACGAAACCATTTGACAGTTGTTCATAAACTCAAAACGTGAAACTCGAGTTTATGGTTCAACGTGAACATAGTATTATTACTGTCAACTTTGTAAAAAAGGGTTTAAAATGTATGTATGTATTTAAAATACAGCCATTGCATTAACTGCATTTTTGTTTTGATAGTAAAAACAAAAGCATTACGTTGCAATCTCATTGAGGCCGACAAATTTTGTCTCTGATTCATTATTTCGAAGAGAAGAATAGACGGAAAATATTTAAACCTGAATTTGAGAAGAAACTTTTTCTCAACACAAACTTTTTTTAAGATTCATGTGATTTTAGAACCTGGAATGCAGCAAAAACTTCAAAAAAATTTAATCATCAGACTTCTTACAGTAGAAAATGTGGTGATTTCCGAAATAGCTTTCACTTCTACCACTTTTTTAAATTATTGTAGCTTTTCCACAATAAGTTCTTCATTAAAAACGGCCTCAAGCTCAATAAAAATTGTTGAATATATAAAATATTCTAGGAACCGTTTTCCCCATTGATTTTGAAATCGTACACTTTTTAAGATCTCTTAATTAATTGAATGCTTAATTAAAACAGATACTGGTAACTCTAGCCCACAGTGTTGCATTTCGCGTTCGTTTAACATCACAGCATTGCCAGTTGGTATTTTCGAAAATTTCCCTCAAATAGCTATCAACGAAAGAGAGCGGAGTGCAATAAAAACATGCTCAAGCAAAAGCGAAGAGCTGCCAAATACCAGCATTCATTGAATAGAGTGTGTCGCATACAGTCCGCTGAACACGGATATGGATTTTGTGTCCGACGGTTATCGAGCGAACGGAAATGCAAAAGCGCGCGTACATAGACACAAAGTTACAACGATAAAATAACAAAAACACCTGTGTCCACTAACTATATATACATACGCGTAGAAAAAATGCTTTAAAACATGGTGGAAAATTAAATTTGTATATGATAAAAAGGTAGACATTTTATAGAATGCGAAATTCTTGTTTATTGTGACCAAATTTATGCTAGTTAGGGGGTGCTAAGCAACAACAATACACACCAGACGCATGCCATGGCCATCGTCTATCAGATGCAGCCATAGCAATATAAATTCTGCAATAACAACAAACAGAAACTCAGTGTGACGTTAGCAAGTTACATAGAGCCTTCAGGTGTTATAAGTGATGACCTTAAGTACCTGTGCATGATTGTCCCTGAGTAGTGTACATACATATATACATACGTGCATATAAAAAGATCCTAAAGTTTATGTACCTACATACATATATAAACAAGTACATATGTACCTAATATACTTCGGTGACACTGAATATTTGCGATTGTGCTTGATATCTGCTTGAAATGACATTTCGATGTCATAGGCAAAGTGCACTTGTTTTTTGCTTTTCGATGCCGCTTGTTGTGGTTGTTGTTTTTTCATTCTCACAACTGTTGTTGTTCATGACAAAACAGGTGTAAGTACGCACCTAGTACGTGTTTGTTGTTATTATTGCTCAATAGGGGTACGTATTCAATGTTTTGCGGTTAGCTTGCTTTTCGGTATCCAAGGGATACAACACCTCATACAATGCATACACACAGAAGCAAGGGAGGGTGGCTTTTGTTGTGATTTTCGCTTTATGAGCTCTGAAAGTCAGGATGTAAAAAATACATAAGTGTATGCAGTCTGACAGAATTTGCACTACGCTGGTAAAAATCAATAAAGATAAGCAAAAATTATAAAAAAAATCCCTGATTACATTATATACATAGTATAATGTTTTTATGTATTCGAAGTGGGGTTTAAAGCGTTTTGAGCCACAACTAGGCGGTGTCTATTGAAAAGAAAGAAAGCGAAAAGATCACGCGCATACAAAAAAAAAGAAGAGAATAATATACAATTGTGCAGTGCTCAAAAGGCGACACAAAAATTAAGTAAACTCCCTTACAGAGAATCATAGACAAGTCAAGTGAATGTGTGTGCTTTTCTATGCGCCCGAAAAGTGAAATTTGTGTGAAAATAGTGTTCAGCGCAAAGCAAAAATAATATCGGCAGGATACTCCCTACTCAGTGGAGTATAGGGTGTGCCATTAGCAAGAGTAGGGGCCTACTCTTTTGAATGATACATGCAATTTTGAGGACTACATCCAAAAGTAAGAGAACAATGTAAGTACCGAGATAAAATACAGTACTAATTTAAAATAGTATGTACACCTTCATTCAAAATAATAGTAATGTAACATTTGGGCGGTTTTGAATTTTTTTTAATAAAAGTATAAAAGAAGTATGCACCTAATTCCAAATTTCAAACTTTTAGCAAAAGTTAAAAAAATTCAACATACATTTTTGGTATGCAGATTATATCCTATTCAATTTTTGTATAATAAAGAGCAAGTTTCAAGTTTCTAGTGGATGGAAAACCTTCGCTCAGCAGTCCGCTAAGGACGAGCAGGACACTCGAAGGGGATATGTACCTCTATCCATCTTTCGTTCTGCATCTTCTACAGATCTAATCTTTAGTCAGAGTCAGTTTAAAGGCGTGTGATGTCTCTCTCTTGAGGGAAAAGAGAAACTTCGTGAGCTTCATTGTCATTCGCCCTGCACATAATTTTGGACAGTCTTGCATATGTTCCACGCCTTCTGCGCCTTCCGCATCATGGACAGGTCGAGTTCTCGTTTGATCGCTTGAAGGTTTAATCGCTCCTCCATCAGCATGAATTCCTACGAACCATCCTCTTTGACAAGC